AGAGGGGTTGAGTGAACAGCCAAAGCCCCAGAGCAGGCTAGGGCTGGCACTGAAATCCAGGCTGGCTTGGCACCAGAGCTTGAGGATCTCACAGCCAAATTGGACTGGATTTGAGGACCCCCAATGCTGATAAGATCCCATTCTGAGGAACTTCGTTTATCAATAGAAGGCAAAGGTGTTAATGGTCTTGATTTTCATGTTCCTTCACTCCCTCATATTGTAGATTTTTGAATGTGACTAATTCCATGGAATCACTCGAAAAGGTTGGGTAAAAGAGAACAAGGATTAATCCAATTATTTGTAGAAATTAGTTTGGACTGGGGAAATAAGGCAGGGAGACCCAGCTTGCCCCTGCTACCTACATGGATTTAATACCCTTGGGAAACTATCCTGAATTCCTGCTCCTTCCTACACTGGCCAAGAACACCAGGGTGCCTCTGGGAAAATTTGTCCAAGGTGTGGAGAGGGCGTGGAAAACAAATTTTCTTTCCCCCCCAACTATGGCTCTGTATTGTCTGTTTTAAGCTCCCTAGGGCAGGGAGGGCATCACTTTGCTCATGGCTGCCCTGCTCAGGGCTTAGAACCTGGCATATACCAGGCCTCCATAAAGTTGCTTAGGGAACGACGCATCCTTGATCATAAGCCATCTAAATAAGGGCTTTAGACTAAGAGGTAGAGTACGGGAGGAATGAATTTCTTGTTCCTGGGTCTCAGTTTCCTTATTTGTAGCTGCTTGCAGTTGCAGAATTTTAAGGTGGTTGGGTGCCCCACCTTTCCCCAGCCTGTAATCCGGTGCCAATGCAAATGCCAGGTGAGGGGGCGGTTCACCTGTTCCTTGACCCCTGGTGGGTGTACCTGCATCCTCCAGGTTCCGGAGCCGAGGGAGTAACCCCCTGAAAGGAGGTTTACTTGGTGGAGAAAGCTTGTTCCCATCACATCGCCAAGGCGGGCCTACAGCCTCAGAAATGAGGGCGCCTGCCCGCTATGAGCTCACAACCTGCTCACAAGCCGCCGGGGCGGTTATTATTACCCTCATCTTTTGAGAAGGCGCCCAAGGCTCAGAGACCAAGCCACTTGCCCAAGGTCACACAGCTCAGTAGGCAGAGCAGGGATGGGGACTCGGGTCTCCGGAGCCCCGCTCGAGCGGCTTTTCGAAGACACCGCTATCTCCCTATTGTGACGCTCAGGAATAAAACAGGCCGGACGCCTAGCTTTTACAATGCTCCACGCAAATCTGTGGGAACAAAAGCAACCAGAAATCTGCCCCGGATTTTCCATCGCTCCGGCCCGACGGGCCAATCGACTCCGCCGGCCAAGGAGGGGTGGAACGGGGTGGGCCCAACGTGATCGACAGCACCGGGGGGCGTGGTCGCGGGGTGTGTGAATCTGGATTGGGGACCCGAAACAATCACAGGCTTAGAAGGGGCAGTTTGAGCCAATCAGCGGGGGGGAGGCGGGCCCTGCCGGCCTGGCTGTCGCGAGAGGCGACTACCCCGCCCACTTGAGCTCCGTCCCGGGGTCCCC